TATACACAGTCCTTACGAAGTCTTCCAATGTCTGGGCCTGGGCCCAAACATCAAAATTCTGACCGTAGCCGTGTTGCTTCACTAACCCATTCAACCAACGAGTTGTCGATCCCTCTAAAAAGGAAGCAGCAACTATGACTTCCTGCTCTGGCCTGGCGAGTTTGTGCCTCACAAAAGTATGCACAATCCTCACCCATGTATCCAAGTTCTCATCCTTCTTCTTGTCGCCAGAGAAGGGTTTGGGACTCAACAAGGGTATCTTGGGCATCCACTGCATAGGTTGGACTTGCCCAGGCAATTGCTGCAGTGGCTGTATGGACACTGAGACAGGTTGCTGCACGCCAACCTGCGGCTGCCCAGACAATGGCACGGTAGCTGCCACCGTCCTCGATGGTACGGGAAAAGAAATCAAAACTTGACAACTGACTACTGGTTGACTACCTGGAAGAGGAATATCATACATAGGAGAGAAAGAGGGCACTATTGGTGACGGTGTCACTGAGGGACCCGCAACCAAAGGGGGAGCTACAACATACTAAGGCTGCCTCATCACTAGACGAGGAGCCTGCAGTGCAGCCAAAATTCGTTTCTAGCTGTCCACTAGTTCGACCAGCACTTCCTGCTGAACAACCTACGTTTCTGCCACACAAAGGAGTGAGCGACGCAGCGCTTGCATTGCAGGATCAAGTGTCGACTCGTCTAGTGCCTCTAGATGTCTTAACTTCTGCCTCCTAGCTCCTAGTCTAGCTTTTCTAGTGATAGCCCTTCGTCTCCTCTCTGCTGCATCTCTCAATTGTTGTTGTTGTGATCATGCAGTTCTTCTGCTTGGAGGATCTCATAATCCTCGGGTGTGAGTGGCATCTGCTGGCTGACTTGTGAGCCAACAGATTGACTAACAAAACTCTGAGAGATACTCTGACTGCCACCTGACGAAGAGGCCTGGGACAAGGCCTGGGACACTGTAGAGGAGGTAGCCATCGCAACCTCAACTTGAACTCTAGCGTCCGCTAGTCTTGCTGCTGCAAGTGTTCGTTCAACGTTGGTTGTCGTTGTCCTAGCCGTCTCTAATATCGTCCTTTCCCTGACTTACCTTCGCAGCCGCCTTTCCTCTCCCTGGCCTAACTCCAAGAAGGTAATCGGTTGACTGAGTGCAGTTCTACGAGTCACTCTAAGATGTTCCACTACTCGTTCCTCCTCCTCACTACCGCCTGCATCACTCATAAGCTACAGTATCAGTGATCTAAAGTCCACATTGAATCCTACCTCAGCATGACATATAACCGGGTATGAACAATCAGCTATTTCTGATAAACCTAGAGAGAAGTAGTCAAGTGGTAACCAGCAATCAATGTCGGGTCCTACAGGTAATTTCAATTTTATTTTTAGATTACTCTTACACAACATGCAATGCAGCAAGGAAGGAAACTAACCTATCTGCAGCTATCTGTCAGTTGTTAACAAGTCCGTACAATTAAGTAATCAAAATAAAAATAATTACCTGTGGAGATGTATGCTGGATGGCAATTCATCTAATTAGTGCCACAGCGAACAGTTACGGGAATCCAACCCTCCCCCTGTATCCCTCTTGAGTAGTCACTTTGTGTTGACGTCATAAGCATCTGGTTGAGCAGCGTGTCTGAAGGTGCGCAATCCGGCCCACCCCTGTGCCCCAAGTCTACGCCGAACCTGCCAGCCCCTGCACCTTATTTATCCTCACATGCAACGAGCCTTACACCCAGTTTGATCTGGTTGATCAAGAGGCAGTTCAAGGACAGCCCCCAAGGTCCGCAGGAATTATTTAACATCGCAGACAGGACGATGATCACAGCCAGAATCAACACCGAGTCCCCACCAGAAATATTTAAAGACGGTCCGGTAAGCGTCTGTCCAAAGGGCTGGCATGCCCTGCATGACCTCTATTGCGCAGCAGCAGAACCAAGGGCTTGCGGCCAAGCATGCGTGTACTAGTCCCAGCGGTTTGGCATGGTGACCGTGACCCGAGTGCTTCGTCCAGGGCCCTTCAGAGGCTTCGCCCGTTTCCCACCAGCTTGCTGCCCAGGAAGAATGTCGACTCTCAAGGTTGAGCGCTCGCGACATCTCACATTGAGAGGACTCTCAAGACAGAACTCACTTCCTCACGGTCAGAAGCAATGAAGAGGGTAGATAAGGAAGAGAGCAACGTACCTCATAATGTTGCCCCCAACCACAGATTTCACACTGGCAACCTGATGTGCATTTATGATGACTGGTCTTTGCCTCGGCACAACCAACAGCAGAATGCAGTTCCACCTCGGCTTAAATGCCACATCAGCGAGCTCTCATCATCCAGCGTTCACCCCTAATGTCACCACATAGCTTCCAAGCGCGCCCACACGACCCTTGGCCGCCTTCTGTTCAATGCCCAAACCTTATCACTGCCCCACACCTCATGTGAAGCACCAAACGGCTATGGCGAATGACCAATGAAGCGCAGTTCAAACCAGCTCTGATACCAAATTGCAAGGAAAATGAGCAGAAGCGAGATGACAATAACCAGAATACACAATCACATTGAAGGCCAGATAGTAACACAGTGTCCGGAAAGCAGAAATGCACCAATATAACACCAATGATGATTCGTAACACTGAAAACCAATGTCAATGAGAGCCAGCTCTCGCCACCACCAACATGAGTGTCCAGGCCATATCTCCCTACTTGGCGCTCAACGCCCAGCCTACTTCCTACACAGCTACAATCTGCCTACTAATTGACAATGCAACTGTTGACGTCAGCAGCTCAAGAAGTACTTGAAGATGTCGCCCAATGCAGACTATCGCCAATACCAGGTATGTGCCCTCACATCATCATCATCATCATCATCATCCTTCTCCCTCTCTCCCTCTTCTTACACCCACGTCTTCCCTCTGTACACCCGAAGACCACCCCTGCGCCTCACTGTACAACCAAGCCCTCAGCCAACTATGGAGGCTGGGCTATGGCGCTGCCCTCAGCAGCGCCCTGTTGCACACAAGACCTCACGTGCGCAGCACCTCGCTCCAGCGCTAGCAGCCAGCACGCGAGTAGAAGCTCCAGCAGGCTGCCGCCAGCCAGCAAGTGCCTGAATGAGGCTCCAGGCAACGAGCTCTTTCCTATATGGAAAGAGCCTGCCTGCCTTCGCAGCCTGGCTGGCCTGGGCCTGGGCCCAGAAGATTCCGGTAGGCCCCAGGATGGTGCGCCTCTGTTGCAGCTACTGGGCCTCATTCGGTTGGTCCTCCCAACTGTATGAGCCTGCGATTCTCGTCCAGGGCCTGCATCATTTTGGAAAGGCCTGGAAGGCCCTGGGATGTCTTGCTGCTCGGCCTGTATTTCCCTCAACCAACTGGCGCGTCGAAACTGCCTGGACCCCAAATACGAAATTGACAGCTGAGGGCCTCTCGGGATTTTGTTAGGCCCGCCTTCACTTAGGGCGAGCACATTCGCAACAGGGCCCCTTTGGCCTGCCGAGGACACAGATCCTCGCATAAGAATAATTAATAAGAATAATTAATAAGAATAATTAATAAGAATAATTAATAAGAATAAATAATGATGATCCGAGTTAAATGAATGAATAATGCTGATCCGCATCAAATGTTGAAGAAGTTATCCGAATGTTGCCCGTAGAGTCTTCTTTCGCGCTCGTAGGTAATTAATCAAGAATGGTCGAGATGGGAGTGTGTGAGAGTATTTTATTTGAGCATCCGGACAGAGCGTCTCCTGGTTAATCCCTTCTTACTTGTGTCCCTTCTGCATTAGGATTTCTTTTGGTTTAAATTGTGTGTGACTGTCTGCTGGGTTTTGAGGTAGTGACTGGTGTCTTGTTGGAGGGGGGTAGCTGGGGGAAATGGGCGAGGCAGGTGGGTTGCCTAACTGAATTGTGGGTTGCGTGGATGGTGAGAGGGGTTACGTTCGTTGGGAGAGGGGTGTTTGATGTTGATGACGTTAGGAGGTGTTGGGGAGGGTAGAGTTTCTTGTCGGTGGGGGTTATGGAGCAGTGCGGAGGAAGGGATGCTAAAGCAGTGCCGAGGGGAGGGAGATTGGATCCTGTCGGCGAGATTGTCCGCGGCGGAGTGTGATAGGTGAGCGGATGGGTGCGAATTTTGTGAGCCTGGGAGGAGTGTGTGTACGTGGTCACTACTGTGAGTGTGGGGACAGTCGCAGGATTTCTATGGCTCCCTCTTGGCTTTGCTGCTACGACACTCTATTCCTTTTGACGCTTGCTCCTTGCTGTCACTCTCTAAAAAAGAGTCTTTCCCATTGTATACTTCCCTATGTTTTGCTTTCCCTCGGTACTCAACTTTTCCCTTTTGTGCGTAATTGGCATAAGATTACAGTACACATGATAGGACCCTGGTGCTAGGCTGTCATCTTTATTACTAACTTCAGAAAAATATGCTATGCTTGAACCTCCTTTTGTCTCTACCTTGGTTGAGGCGAAGGCGGTCCGTGCGCGGCGTTGTGATTGAGTCGTTGCCCTCGTTTGTCTCTCTGGCTGCTCCGTTGATTGTTGACTTGGGATTTTCCCTTGCCGATAGCTGGATGAAAAAAAAAAGGAAAGATCTTACCTCTCTGGACTCGTTACTTGTCTCTTCATTCTCTTCTTGATGAGTAGGTGACGAAGGCGCCTTCGTATCAGTCTTTCCACCTCTCTTTTCTGTCTTTCCTTCTTTTAGGGCTTTCTCCCTCGCTGCTTCTGTTCCTTCCTCAATTCCACCCCTTTTCATGCTCAGTTTGTCTCACCAGTTGTCTATTCTCAAGCTCTTTGCTTGTCCCTTACTAAGATTTTGCAACTAGACCTGGTCTTTATAGAGAGTTCACAGAAAACAAATTCTCCTTTTCCCCCAAGCCAAAGCCAACACCAGCCATACAAAGGTTATGCTGGCTACCTCTCACGTTTCTACGACGTGGCAACCTAAAGAGAGACATCGGGTTCATCACAAACAACGAAAACATGTACGTTGCCATTCATAGTATTTCATACCTTCCTTTCGCCTGATTTGCCACTCGGACCAGCTTTTGTTGTTGTCACCACTGCCTCCCCTTCCTTTACTGGACACAGAGCCAGGCAACAGAGAAAGTGAGACATGTCAATACTGTAATGACCTGCAAAAGCACAGACTGAGAACTCTGCTGATTTCTGAGTTTTGCCGCTGGAATGTGTGAGTTGCTGAGATTCCCACTTTCTGCTAAGATTTACAAGTCTGTGAGTGTGTGTGCTTGCTGGTTTCCGTGTGTTTGTCTGAGTGCATGATTGCTTGGGTGTGCATGTGACCCGCCAGAGTACTTGTACGCTTGGAAGGCCTCAATCCTGGTACTTACCTGTGGTCGTGGCTTTGTGGGTTGCAGCAAGGCGTAGCGGTAGGCTAGACCCACGTTGTTCCAAAACACTAAGTAGCAGCTAGGTTAGTGTTATGATTCTCTCATCCCAGTTAGTAAAATAAGAACGGTGAATATCATCCTGTAGAAGGATGAACTTAGCCATGTCCTTATTGTACTAGTTGGAAGTACCACTAGTCCTGACCTTCTCTACATCAGCAGTTAGCAGCTTTTTCCTGGCCTCCTTCTGAGCTGCTTCTTCTTTCCTCTTAAGCTCAGCCTTTAGAGCCTCAACTGTCTGGGCCTGTTGGCGGAGTTTCTCCTCCTGGGCCCGCAGTTCAGCCTCTAAAGGGTCAAGCGGAATATGGGGCTTCACATCAGAAGCCTCTCCCTTCTCAGCATCTGTCATTTTAATTTACCCCACAATTCAGATAAAATAAAAATAAACAAATAAACAAAAAAATAGACACGAGGTAACAGGAATTGAATTTTCTCTACAGTACTCGTCCAATTACTGTCACCTGTCTGAAGGGAGAAAGTTGGTTAATCTGAGCAAGTGAGTGCTCAGTCTCTGCAGACCGCTTGAGGTTCAGGGTCAGTTTAGAGTAGACTCAGCAACATCATTTCACGATTTTCCAATCCCTGCCCTGACACAACAATTGCATGCAATAACTGCAAATCTTAGACTAATTACAACCAGGATGCAGTCTTGGACTGATTAGTAGCGATTAGAAGTTAAACAGAGTGACTAATTACTAATTAGGGATAGGCGAGTGTCCACTGATGACCAAGATGGAACGATTTACAGGAAATCCTATTTTTAGACCTACCCTGGAGACTTCACCACTGTATGACCCTGTATGCCATACCCTGGGTATGGCGAATTACAATTTTCACTGTAACTGACTTGGAACATCAAATTTGACTGTTCGATTTCAGATACTGACTGTATGCTGAATTGCAATTTACCAGGGACTGACAAAATTGAATTCTGACGAACAAAATTGAAGTTATGAATGACCCTAGGCTAGCCAAGCTTCAACTATGTCAGCGCAAAATTCAAATTTGCATTATCACTAACAACAATACCCTGAACTCGTCAATTCACTACACAAGATGAATCGCAATACTGTAAGGCAGTCACAGATAAAATTTGAGTCAGAAAGGAGGTCAAACAGGGTTAGTAGAAGTCAACGATGATAGGTAGGGGAAATTGGCTATGGCTGTCCCACAGTTTGAATTTCGCTTTTCAACCTTTTTTTGGGGGGAAAAGGACCCTCGTACAAGACCTCTATCCTGTTGGTGGTAAGAGAACCACCGGGATTGAGGCTTTGCCTGATGGACCGTTCCATCTATTGGTGGGGAGCATCACCTGCTGGAAACCGGGTCCAGCGTCCCATGAATACATCTTTACAAATTTTTACATCATTGAACATGACACCACTGTGCTGGAAACCGGGTCCAGCATCCCATATCCGAACTTTATCTCCCTTCCTCTCCTGTGGCACGGTCGGGTATTTGAGGGGGGGGGGCACCGGGGGGCACCGGTGGAGACTCCCTCCATCTCCCATCACCCAGCCCTTCCCCGCCATCTACTCTCCTCGTGGCGTCCATTGAGCTGAACTGACATGAAATAAACTGAGATGGACAGGAATGAACTGAGAAAATATAGGATTATATAGGTGAAACTGCAGGAGGAAAAGGGGAGAGCCCTGTTCAGCCGGGAGCCGGGGACAGTGGCTCAGGTAGCACTTCCTCCAGAGACAACGAGTGGGGGGGAAGGTGTCTGCAAATTCCTGGGCAGGGCGTAACGGGTCGTCAGGGTCTACCTTGGTCCATTCGTGAAAAAACAACTGATAATCTCTTTCAATCTCCACCCGGTGTCCCTCTTGCAGTTCTTCTTCGAACCGGCTTTGGTTAAAATGACCCTTGGGTTTTGTTATAAATGGCCTGACAACTGGTCTGAAAATTGAGGCCTCCATTAACCGGCTCTCAACCGGCAATCCCCGGCCCTCTAAGAATTCTGGTTGTCCGTTGTCTGAAGACCAACACTCCCTCACATAGACTTCCAGGTAAGCCCATACATACACAAAAGGAAGGGGAGAGGATAGGAGTATTTTGGTTGTTCGTTGTCTGAAGACCAACACTCACTCACATAGACTTCCAGGTATGCCCATACATACACAGAAGGAAGGGGAGAGGATAGGAGTATCACACCGCACAGGGAGAGAGAAACACAGCGGAAGACTTGACCATGTGATACGAGAACACTGAAAGTGCAATTCACTCCACTCAACCCTCGCAACCGGTCATAAAGAAAAGCCGAGTAGATCACATCCATGAAACGATGATAGTCCAAACCCAGTATCACACTGATTATTAAACTCAGAGTCTCGAATTGTCAGGATAACCTCAGAACTACAGTGCGCTGCTCAGAAGTGAGCAGCGCTGTCGGCCCGAATACCCTTACAAGGGTATTTGGGCACATTTTTGCATCCCACAGAAAGTGCGTTGTTGATGATATTCAAAGCGTGCCTCATTTCTATGTGACCACAGCCAATTCTCAGGGGTTGGGAGTGGCACACGCCTTTGAATTGATTAGAGAGTGTGAGCGTGCACTTCGAGGGCACGAACGAGTTTAGGCGGACATCTTGCAAAAATTGTGAGAGCGGTATCCGCGCCTAGTAGAGTAAACTAGGCGACTGCAGTAGGAACATGCAAAGCACATTCGTATTCAAAGCCAGCATTTGGATAGTCAGGGCTACAATTTAGTTATCAGATCCGCGTGACTTATTTGTTACAGGACTAGGATCAGTGGGGTGCATAGTACCTGATTTCCTTGGTCGACTATGGCATTTAGTCAACGGTAGAAGCCACGGGAGGGGCACTATAAAAGTTGGAGGTTTCCCGACATTTAGGTGATAAAGGTACGATTTTTCGGGGAAAGGAAGCCTAGTGAGGAGGTCGGGATTGCTATGTAACGGCGCGGTTGTGCCACATGCACGACGGCGACAGGTAAAATTGACCCCTTCATACGGTAAGGGTCGACACATAGGAGCCTTTGAGATGGCCAGTGTGCCTAAATACAACCTTAGTACAGTTCAACAGGCCTAAGCCTGAAAACAGACGTCTTTATAACCAAGTCCGCGCCTAATACATCTAAGATTGGGCCTAGCCCTATAGGTTATGACTTTGAACTGAGACTTTGAAGACCCAAGGATCGAGGCCAGCAACTGACTTCGAAGGAGTGGAGGAGCGTCATATGGAGGAAATTGAGGGGTTGAGGGTCCCGCACGGCTATCCCCCTTAGTTTTGCTGGGAAGTTCGATTGCGGGCCCAACTGGCAGGACCAAGGGAGTACCAACGGGTCTCTTCATCCTTTCTCATCGGTTTTTTTTCTTTACTATTTTTATTTGATGACCTGGTACCGGCTCTCGGGACAGGCATGGACCCGAAAGCCTAGCTCAGTGGGTAAAACATTGAACTGTGAAGTACAGACCGAGCAAAACCAAATAGTTTGAATTGCCTCAATCCGGTTCAACTCGATGGCGATATCTCAAGGCCGTCGCGCGGCGTGGTCCTTCGGGACATCTGTTAAAATTGGAACGATGCAGAGAAGATTAGCATGGCCTAGTGCAAAAATGACATGCAAGGCTTACCTTCTGTTTTTCAGAAGCTTGTGTGAGGCCACGTCTAAGGCGGATGCAATAGTGGTGCTCGTGCAACAACCCATGCCATATGTCTCATGGAAGCTGAGGTTTTCAAAGGGCCAACCTGGCTGCCCTCAGTCCAGGCCGAACAAAGGGGCAAAAAGGGCCCTTACATGAATTCAGGGCCTGGGCGCATGACAGTTGACTTCAGTCAACTGTCGGTCCACCCAACAGTCAAAGTCCAAAAGTACCTAGCCCAGGCCGCTGGTCAAGCACACACATCTGTTTGTATGCAGGTACCCAGACAGCATCAGGTCCAAGGAAGAAGTCTGCAACTGTATCATCTGTTTGTATGCAGGTACCCAGACAGCATCAGGTCCAAGGAAGAAGTTTGCAACTGTATCATCTGTTTGTATGCAGGTACCCAAACAGCATCAGGTCCAAGGAAGGAGACCCGAGGCCAGAGAGCCTCGTCAAAAAGCTACTTAAAGACTGGCCTCGAGGTAGTCAGCACTCAGTCTTGCTATACTGCTGTAACACTGGCTTCAGGCTGGCGCGACGCTGGCTATATGTTAGTTGTGTACAGACGTTGCGGATGACGGCACGGGAAAGAGGCAGCATGCTGGCATTCGCCATGGCATGCTGAAAGGCTGATGTGGCGCTGCCTCCGGTCTTCATGGCATGCTGATGTGGCGCTGCCTCTGGTCT